ACACACACACACACACGCGCGCGCGTGCTTGGAAAATGGACATTTCCCCCTTTTTTTTTTTGCTTGTCAGGTTTTTGTTGAAGGTATAAAATTTTTTTTTTTACAGTTAGCCCCCCACTTTCAATTTGCTTCCGACGCCAATGTCATTTAAAATCACATTTTTTTCTTTTTATGTTCCGCTTTCACCTGTATGCACTTGCGCTATGTTTTTATCATAACTGTTACAGGCCATCGACCTGGGGTACCCAAACTGGCCATTGTTGTGACTGATGGTGTTTCCTCCTACAAAAACCGCACCACTGAGCAAGCCCGACTGGCCCAGAACAGCGGAATAACGATAATGACGGTAGGAGTGGGGAAAAGCACTGATCTACAAGAATTACAAGACATTGCCAGCGACCCCGACTCCAAATACCTCTTCCACATAGACACATTTGTTGGGTTAAAAATGATTAAAAGCACTCTAGCGGCAGCAACCTGTACAAGTATGCATATCGCTTGGTACTATCGTCACAATTTTGAACATAAACCATTTGCAATTAATACAATGAGAACTAAGCATGTCAATTTTATATGTATTCTGATTATTTTTAGAGTTGAAAGGACTAGCAAGTAAGTCTCAAACATCTTGTTCAAGTTTCACAGTAATTGTCGGAATCAGGATGATATTCTAAATATCATCTTTTATTTATTAACTTGCTTATTTTTGTTGTCTGTACTTATAAGGCGACTGTAGCAAGAAAGGAGCAGCCGACATCGTTTTCGTTTTGGATTCCAGCGGCAGTGTGGGAGAAGACAACTTTGAAAAGATGAAGAATTTTACAATGGATATTGTTGATGAGTTTACGGTTGGGCCTGATGCCGTCCAGTTTGGAATAGTCATATTTAGCACGCCTGTGACTGGCGCCTTTTCTCTGAACAAATACGACAACGCAAAAGAACTAAAGGAAGCCATCAGCGAGATCGAGTTCGAGGATGGAGAGACTCACACTGGGAAAGCACTCGAATTTTTACGCCAAAAAAGTTTCTCAACCAAAGAAGGTAATAAACCGCTTGTCCGTAAGCTCCCAAAGGAAACACCACTGGAGGACTTGTCTAGATAATACATATTATAAGATTCGAATATGTCAACCCTAGTATATAATTGACATTTCTTCCAATAGGAGCCAGGACTAGCCAGAAGGTTCCAAAAATCGCCATTGTGATAACAGACGGACATTCCACGCACAAGGAGAAAACCCTGGAGGAAGCTACCAAGCTGAAGGTGCAGGGTGTAGAGATCTTCACCATCGGAGTGGGGGACGAAGTGGATGAGGACGAACTCACAAAAATGGCTTCCAACAAAAACATATTCCGAGTGGACACCTTCAGCGCTCTGAATCACCTTCAGCCGCTCCTTCTACGACAGGTCTGCACAGGTAATGATTTCATACCTCGTAAAGGAACATTTCTATAACAATTCTGTTTTCTGTATTTGTTCATTCAAAAACAAGATTAAATCTCTTTCCTTCTCATACTTTCAGCTCCAAGTAGTAAGTATTACATAGTATACAGTAAATTATAACGTAAAAGAACCAATTCAAGTAATTCCTGATAATTTCTTGCATTTACAGTGTTGAGATCATGATACGAATATTAATAAACCCATAAATTAAATTTCAGCATGTCTTGGGAAATCAGATGTGGTTTTCCTCCTCGATTCCTCGTGTAGTGTTGGTAAAAACAATTTCCAGAAACTGAAACACTTTGTCAGTGACGTTACATACAACCTTGACATTAACAAGAACGGGGTACAGATGGGAGTAGAGACGTATGAGTGCAAGGTCCACACCAACTTTGAGCTGAAGCGATACCATAACAAAGTTCAAGTACAGAATGCTATTAACAACATTGATTATAAACCAGGCGGTACCAACACGGGAGACGCCATTAAGCATATGTGGATGCGCAGTTTCAGTCCAGAATATGGCAGGTTTCAGGTTTTTTTTGCTACCATATTTACTGTATATATCCAGAAAATTGCAATTTCATTTTTTATTTTTCAGGAAGCAGAGACAATGTTAGGAAACTGGGTATTGTTATTACTGACGGCGATTCCAAGAGCAAGGCCACAACGTTCTACCAAGCCCACAAGGCGCGAGAAAGTGGCGTCACAATGATAGCTATAGGCGTGGGAGATATGAATGTAGAAGAACTAAAGGGCATCGCCAATGGTACGGACTATCTGTTAACGACCAAGAATTACGATACTCTGCGAGACCTAACTCAAAGTGTTACCAAAATGGCCTGCGAGGGTAGGTAAGGAATCGACTGGTATTTGTCTGAAATCGCTGTCATTTTGAGAGATAATGATCTCTTTATATACTTTTTTTTTCATTTCAGCTTGAAAAGAGACAAGGGAAATGCAGAATACCAGTATCTGGTTTTAAATTAAACAGACGTTAAAAACAACTAGTACTTTTGTATTTCTGTAAATTTCTGATAGTTCTCAGAATAAGATATACTAGTATATTGGGCGAAAAACCTTAAGAAAGATAACTAACGCAAAACAAGAGGCATAAGGGTCTTAAAGGTCACCTGAAAACAAGTTCATAGAGGAAGATTATATGTTGCAATTGCTCAGAAAAAGAAGAGATAGGGTAATCATTGATCAACGAAAGTCTTGTGTTAGATCTGCAACTTCGTATGATTCCTTAACCCATTTATCCCCCTCGCCGATCTGAGTAACACAACAGCACCAGCATAAAACAAGAATGTGGTACCCTTTAGCCTCTCCTAGTCTTCAAACGACGCAGTAAAAATAAACTTATTTTTGCCTTAAAGTGGCCCCATTCCTTCCCACAAGGACCATGATGAATGTGCACTCCTGAGAATGCTTGCAAACTGGTAAGACTTGTTCTTGGCAGGTTTTTAAAGACTTGAAACATATCCAATGATCTAGTGGGATCACAGCCTACAGCCATGTTCTGAAATATGTTGGTTGATATTTTCAAAAAAATTAACTAAAAATATCCTATTAAACAAGACGCCCAGGGGCCAAATCGCTCCCCTGAACAACTGGCTAGGTAAAAGCAAAAATCAGTTCTGTATTGAAAAGTTTAAATATAAAAGTGGGTTCAGGGGGGGGGGGGGTCTTGAACAAACTTGAATCTATATTTCCTACAGATACTTTTCAATAAATAAGATACATAATGACTTTGCTGTTTACAAAATGAAAAATTTCATTGATATGGCCTATATATTCCTTTGTATAACTATGATCCACTTTTATGGCTTTATTCCCCTGGTTGGTCATGATTTGAACAAATTTAAATCTACATTACCTCTTTTGATGCTTTTATATTGATGATAACGGCTTTGTTGTTCTTAAAAAGAAATTTAACAATTTTCTCTATGTATTCTTTTGTAAAATTTTGATCACCCATTGTGGCCCCACTCTACCCCCGGGGTCATGATTTGAACAAACTTGAATCTACACTACCCGAGGATGCTCCCATATAGATAAGAACAATCACGGCTTTGCTGTTCTCTAGAAGAATTTTTAAGATTTTTTACTTTGTAATCCTTCTTAAAATTTAGATCACCCAGCTTTGCCCCAGGCATCATGATTTGAACAAACTTGAATGCATATTTATGTCATTCTGAAATTTAATTTGATATGAAAGATTTTTTTTTATTTGTTACAAAGATTTATAACAAGAGACTCATGGGCCACATCACTCACCTGAGTAACTTTGGCCATGCTATTCTTTAGAAGATTTCTCATTTGTAATACAGTTATACCTAGGCCATTCCAAGTTTTTTCTCTGTTTAGCGTCCACCCATCTTTCAACAAAAACCTAGCTATCTATTCGCAAAAAACACATAAGTCAAAAAAAAATAATGAAACACATATTTTGTAGTAATAAGAATAATTCAAAAGATATTTCATTTATCTATTTTTCATAAAGAAAGTTATTTTCTTCAGCAAAATCCAGGTATAAAATACTGAAACTATTCCAATAATGAAATATTATACAAATATTTAGAATTTTGATCTGAATAATTCATTTTCGGACTCCTGATGCTGTTTGTTTTTTTCTGACTTGGGGTGTCAAAAACAAAGGTGCACGCTAAACATAGAAAAAACTTGGAATGGCCCTATTATGACCTTGCCCTACCCCAAAGGGTTATTATTTGGAGAATGTGGAATCTACACTACCCAAGGATACTTCAACATTTAGTCTCAGCTTTTCTGGTCTAGTAGTTCTAGAGAAAAAGATTTTCAAAGATTTTCCCTATATTTTCAATGTAAAACTTGGGTTCCCTATTATGGCTTCAGCCTACCCTCGAAGGTCATGATTTTAACAATTTACATTACTCCAGGATGCTTCCACATAAGTTTAAGCTCCTATGGCCAAGTGGTTCTTGAGAAGATTGTTCCTATATGTCTCAATGTAAAACTTGGATTCCCTGTAGTGGCACACCCTACCCCAGGGGGTCATGATTTTAACAATTTAAACTCTACATTACCACCAGGATGCTTTCACATAAGTTTGAGCTATTCTTGCCCAGTGGTTCTTGAGAAGAAGATTGTTTAATGACCCGACCCTATTTTTGTTTTTTCTTGATGATCTCCCCTTGCAAGGGGACTTGGCCCTTTGTTAACAATTTAAACTCCCCTTTATCCAAGGATGCTTTGTAGCAAGTCTGGTTAAACAGTGATCAGATAAGCTCACTTGAGCTTTCAGCTCAGGTGAGCTAAAAATGGCAGCAAAAAATGGAAATAATTTCAAAACTGTCCACACCTTTTTGTGAATTTACACATTTATCTTTTCTACTAAGTTCACAGGCCAAAGTTGTGAAAACATTCTTGCTTAGGATGTGATCTATATTGAATAAAAAATTTCTCCCTGATGGAAAATGAATCTTTCTGAATTTTCTATCTACTCTCAGAACAGTAACTCCCCATTCTAACCTCTGTCACAGCAGCTGATGACTTGTATCATTCACTATAACACTTCTTAAAACATACCTAGACTTTATTACTTAATCTGATGGAGAATTCTACATGTACAAGGATAGAACACACTTCAGTTGATCTGCTTTACAATGAATCCATCTAGTATGTATAATTTGCTATTAATTAACTGTCCTTTATTTCCAGTTGCTGTTCACTAATTTGTTGAGTTAGATTTTGTACATGTCTCTAGTGTTCTCTAGGCAGGCTTTAAGAACTTCCTGTACTGAGATGTTTTTAAGTCGAGCCACTTCCTCTGCCACTGTGACACACAGCCCTGGGTGAGAATAATTCATGGACTCCTTTGGAATCTAAAATTTACAAAATTGTTTATTATTAACTCCTTAATTGTTAAAAAAAAATTTGCAATAAAGTGGTTTGAACAAAGTTGACTTTGCACTATTTAAAGATGCTTTCATATAAATAAGAATAGTTTGTAAAATGTTTCATATGCACTACTCTGTAAAACTTTCATCACCCATTTTTGACCCTCCCTACATTTGGGAGTTATTATTTGAACAAACCTTGAATCGGCTTTACCTGAGGATGTTTCCAAATAAATAAGACTAGACATGGCTCTACTGTTCTTGAGAAGATATTATTTAAAGAATTTTTGTAAAACTTTGTCAATTACAGCCCAACCTGGGGGTCATGATTTCAGCAAACTTGATTTTTCACTACCTGAGGTTGCTTCTACTTATGATCAATTACGGCTTTGCTGTTCTTGAATTTGATTATTATTGGCTGTCTTTTTAGAGGATTCTTTCAAAAGATTCCTCATGTATTCCTATGCAAGACTTTGATCAGCGCTGTGGCCCCATTCTATCCCCCATTATCATGATTTGAATTCTTTATCACATGAGGAAGGAGAAACATTAAATCAAAAAAATATTTGGACTTAAATCAAACCTCACTATTTTAATGTAATGAAAAAAAAAAAATCATTATTTTTTAAAAATGACTGACCCATTCCTAAATGTTAGACTATTGACTTACTGTTCTTGGGACAAAGTAAGGTGCATCACTCTCTAGCAGTAACCTTTTAAGAGGGATGAACTTGGCCACATCACGTGCTCCCTTGGCTGTTCTGTATGTTACCAGGGGGGTAAGGCCAATGTACAGATTGGGGAAGTAATCCAACCAAAGTTTGGCAGATGTGAAATCTCCAGTGAAACAATGACAGTGGATTTTGTAAAGTCTAGGTACCATCTTTCAATAACAAGATTAAGTTCTAAGATACATGTTTAAAGACACAATGCCATTGCAATTAGGCAATGCCAATTTGGTATTACTATTAGTTTAATTAAAAATAATACCCTCAGTATTTATCTTTCAATCAAAATAAACAAACTCAAATGATATATTATGTGTATTTGCAAAGTTTTCCATTTGCCGTACTAATTATCATGGTTAACATAATCATTGTAAGGATGTCTAGATAGTAAGTATCGGCACTTGAACAGAAAGTGATTGGGGAACCTTATTCTGACCTGTTTGAGGATGTCCAGACAATCCTCTTCTGCCTCCCTACAGTGGATGACCAGGGGTTTCCTCATGTCCAGGGCCATCCTAATCTGCTTCTTAAATACTGATTTCTGGAGTTCTTTGGTCTCAACAAATCTAAAAGCATACATAATTAAAGAAATAAAACCTTTCAATTTCTGAAAATTAGATTTCAGCAACTTATTTTTTTTATTCTTAAAAGTTTTCTTCAGCCATGTTTTTTAGAGAATGAATTGATTCTAACACTCCAGAGTAATCCAAGCCTATTTCCCCCAATGCCACTACTCGGCTATTTAGCAGACACTTTCTCAAGCCTTCCAAATTCCATTTGGTGAAGTCGCGTGCATTTTTCGGATGACATCCAAATGTTAACCAAACATTTTCCTCTTTACTTAAACTCCTCCAGAGTCCTAGATTATAAAACAATAAAGATGTAATTACTGCAAGGTTTTAATCTGATGATCCATGCATCATATAATCATGATATATAATGGTATAATGTATACAGGGTAATTTTTGCCCCACGTTATTTTCGCCTTTTCAATCTTGCAAACAATTTTGCTCTGTCTTAAGGACATTGGCAAGTCACGGTTATCCGGAGAAAAAAGGTTTATATCATGGGTTTATTCACTTATAAAAGTGTGATTTAGAGTGATCCACCGTGTAGAACTCTCTATGAAATGAAAACCAATAAAGCGTATTTAACAGATCGAGGTAAACAAAAGCACATGTGCTTCATTCAATGGGTAGAATCATCTCTTCAGCATGAAAGAAAAATGGTGGTAGTTTGGTGTAGATTGTGTTCAGGGACCAGTGATTGGGAAGGCCAAAATGGTCAATGGGACTATGGCGCAACAGTCAACATTTTTGATGGGCCATTTCGAAAAGGAATGGGCCATCAATATAATCTGAAGGGCCATTTTAAGAAATAACAAAGTGACAAACAAATACGAAATACGAGAGAAAACATGTTTTTAATTAACTGAATCCGACTTTTAACACATGAAATGCAGTAAATTTAAAGGAACTTTCTTAGAATATAACTGACCCGTATTTTGTGTTAAAATTTCGACAGTTTTGGAAAGGGATCAGCCCTACCATACAAATGAATGAAGTATGTACCTCATGTAAGTGCTTCGTTTAACCGGAAGTACTTTTTGACAGGTTTCAACCAATGAGATTTGTTGTTTTAAATTGACTGCATTTAAAACGAAAGTAAAACAAGAAAGAAAGTCCTTCACAAAATATTTCCAAATAACATCGCTAAAAATTGAATGCGCATCTTGGCACCATGATTTGTTGATTTAATGCGCCATTTTTCACTTCAATGCGACTATGGCGCATGGCGCAAGCCCTTCCCAATCACTGAGGGACAGACAGTAAACAGTACTCAACAGGCCGTTATTTACCGTGCCTATGCTGGGAAGGACAATCGCAAAATGTGACAAATGTTGAGAACTTGTAACTGTATCAGGTCGTGCGAAAGAGGGACCATTTACATGTAGTAATTGCAAACAAATATAAAAATAAATCTTTGCCAATATTTTTATGAAACTTTGTTTCCAATATGGTAAATCACTTAACATAAAACAGTCAACCAATCTTTACCATTATGAATACAAATTAGATGCTAAGGGAAGTAACTCTAAAATAATGAACAGTGTTGGTAGATCCATGTCGTGTTTGTAAATTTGTGTTTTCGGTCATAATGTCTAGATATAATTGGAAATTGGGATACAATAATGTATATAATATATAAACTTTCTGAAATTACTGAATTTTGCAAAAAATTTATGGTAAAAAATTAAGCATGTCCTTTATATCAACAAACATAGGAAATGCATTGAGAATTGTAAAAACATCGATTTGACAAAATCTAATAAGGAAGGATGGCTTGGTGGGTTAAATGTACCAGAATATATCATGTTTAGTACCATTACACCTGTTCAAGAGTTCCTGTAGAATTCTATACAAAAACCAGGAACCTTGCCATTGTCCTTAAATTCACCCTTTACACTTTTGTTTAAGAAATGATACTGTACTCTTTGAATTCACCCCGTTTTATATTCGCCCAACAGAGATAAGGGCGAAAGGGGCGAAAATTTCCCTGTATACAGTAATTATTATCTGAAGTCAATCCCTTTACTAAACCTCAATAGCAAAGCTCAAGAATACAAATCAAGTTTAAAAGTGGCAGATTCAACATATTTAAGAGTGTACACCCCCTTCCTAACTGTCACATGGTACCACCTTTGAAAAGAAATAAAATATTAGTGTGTAAATAAAAGGCTTTATTTGGTATGTTCTTGCAAGGCAAGAGGTTCAGGGGTCTAATTCCTGGGCCTCATTTCTGAAGCCCTAAAAATATCTGTTACCAATTCTGAAAGGAAATACTATAGATCACTTAATTTTTGCGACACCTAATTTTGCGAGATATTCATTTACACTTTATAAGTGAGACAAAATTTTCAAGAATTGTGGTTATTACTCTAAATAATGTTAAGGAATGCTAATTTACGCGAGAATAAAATTTTCGCAAGCACGGTGTCTCGCGTAATTGCGTGAAAATAAAGTTCTCGAGAATAAAACATGATTTACAGCATTGTAAAATATTGTAATAATGTATATTTTTATTGGTTTTCTGGTACTACAAGACCCATGAACCTCATGTCCTCCATGAGATGTAATACACATGTACTTCATATATACATTATATATATTTATTGGCCTACTCAATTTTCAAGAATCAATCTGAAAGCTGCCAAGTTCTTTTCCCCGAGCTGACTAGGGATTTGCCCTGTAGTCACTTGGGGCCTCAAGGAAGCCACCTAACTCAACTGCATATTCAGCTGGCCCCTAAATGACTCAACTGCATATTCAGCTAGCCCCTAAATGACTCAACTGCATATTCAGCTAGCCCTCAAATATACAAACTCAAATGATATGTTAAATAACCATATAATGTGTATATTTATAATGCATACATAAATTTATTTTTGAAAATAGTTTATTTTCTTCAAAATCCAGGAACTGCCACTGGTATGAAAATAACTGCATTTTAACTGTGCAAATTTTTGAAAATATTAAATAATTATGTATAAGAACATACTATGATGTCTTCTAATCAACACAGGTAGGTTTGAAAACTTACCCTCTTGTTTAAAACTGTTTGGATTACAGAAAACTGCTACACATCCAAGGTAACTTGAAGGGAACGTTTTCATGTTCTGCACTCGAAAATCCGACCATCTGCCCTTGAAATCAAGCCTGTTGAAGAGAAAGTCGATGTGACAGTGTGAATCTATGTAGCCCACACCATAGACGTTACATCTCTCCAGCAGGGCTGATCTCCAGTCCAGTGTACCAGTGTCAGGGTATCTGTCCATGGTCTGCTTCTGATCGTTAAACCTGTAGGGCCTAGAGGTGGGGGTTGAATCTTCCGAGCTGGATGCCAGAAATAAATCACACCCTGAAGGCTCATCCTCTGAAGCATTGCCACTCTGACTCAGTTCTGTTAAAGTATGTTGTCCCTGGCCATCTTGCTGTTGGTGTAATTCATAGTGCATAGAAGCAAATGACTTTTTAATGTTGTGTGCATTAGAATTATGCTCTAAGGTTGTGGGACATGAGAGCATCCTATTTTGTTGCGTTCTCCAGTATGACACTTCACTACTTCCTATATCTAATGACCCATCCAGGTGACTCCTTTCTTCTCTCCAGGTTCTGGGTGTCTCTTTACAATTTTGATACAAGTGGCTGGATGGGGGGCTAATGTCTTTATTGTTAGTAGGTCTGTTTTCCCTGGCTACATACTGCCCGTGCACATTTGGGACTCTCTTATGAGGAGGAATGTACACATTCTTACTGGGTAATTCTTCAGTGAGGATGGAGCTGACTTTACTCACACCTCTACCAGCTGTATCTTTAGGCTTTTTCTTGAGATTATGATGACAATCAACAATGTTGTGGTGATGTCCAGCATCTTCTGCTATGCTACCATGTCCTACTTCTCTACTACCTACAAAGACACATATACACCAGAATGTATACCAGGTTTTCTATTTTGATAGGTTTGGCTGCTTTAATAGAGTACTGAAGAGTTATATAATGAAATTGAACTCAAACTGTATCTAGCTGAGTAAATACTTGTTGAATGAAAAATATTTCAATTCCTAATTTTTTCTCTGTGATAACTCTTTGAAAGTTAGTGGAGTTGATTTCTTGATAATTCTACTGGAATGTAAATTAGGCAGGTAGATAGGTCAGGAACTTTGGAGGCCTAATATGCATGAAAATCTCATGCACATGCGTCTTTGTGTCTGACGCTAAGGAGGCCAAATATACATGTAAATCTCGTGGGGATGGCTCTGTGTTTGACGTCAGTGAGCGAGGACTATTGAAATTGGCATGGGAGTCCTCGTGTAAATTAAATCTGTGTCCATATTTTTAAAGTCTAAATCTACAATTTTATTTCACAATGAAATGGAAATATAAGGAATCACTGTCTAGTTAGTATAGTATACCAGGGACATCAACTATAGTGGGAAACATGGGATAATTTATGCAAAATGGGCTCCGCCCGATATGCAAATTATCCCATGTTTCCCACTTTCGTTGATGCCCTGGCATACTATACTAACTAGACATTGATTCCTTTGCCCTGTTCACACGGAGAGTTTAATTCGAATTAAACGTAAGTTTACTGCGAATTAGCTTCGCTTAGCATTCACACGGAGAATTTAATGCGAATTAGTTTACTTCGCATTAGTTTACTGCGCATTAAATTACTTCACATTAGCTCCGTGTGAACGCTAAGCGAAGCTAATTCGAATTAAATTTTGGGGCATGCGTAATGGCAAAATTAAGTCAAATGCATCATGTCGGTGGTCAGCTTTAAGTACTTGTGCTATTTTTGAGTGAAAACTAAGAAAAAATGTGTTAATCACTAAAATATGTCTCCAGACACTGTGACATATTGTCAAATGCATTTCTTTCTGCATAAGGTGACGTGATTTGCAAATGACGTCATAATAGCCTTCCTCACGCCTGACTGTCGAAGTAAAATTTTAATTCGCATTAGTTTACTTCGCATTAGCTGTCGTGTGAACGCAATTTAATTCGCATTAGTTTGATTCGCATTAGTTTACTTCGCATTAATTTACTGCGAATTAAACTTGTCGTGTGAACAGGGCACTTGATTTAAGATATGCAGTATGAATATATTCAAAACTTCATTAACTCAAAAACTATGAGATTCAAAGTTTATGTCACTAAATTTAAGTCAAAACATTTTGAGGTCCACAATACATGAATTGATCGTAATTTTTTTTGCTATCAAAACTTGAATATACCATAAAATGAATCATTGTGACAGGGTCTGACAAATCCCACTGCCCGACGCCTGGGGCTAGTGAATTTTAGAGGCAGGCAAGTGAATTTTTTACAGGCACTAGCCCATGGGCAAGTGACTTTAAATAAAAATCAATCAATAAATATTTTTGAAAATGTCATAGTTTTCCACGAAATTAAAATCATTTTGTTGTAAGAGTTATCTTCCTTTGTTTGTCACACTTCCTATGCGAACCACTTTAATTGTGTCATCATAATGCAATTCATTACAAGTTTTACCGAACGTTTTAAGTACATGTATTTGTACTTAATTGAAAGTGACAAATTGGCATTGGAGAAATGGAGAAAGTTTTGACAGTTACGAGGCAGAAAATGATGATCCAAAACCAATGATAAGTACATGGTCCATAACAATATTAGGGAAAAACTCGGTACAAAATCATCTAAGCATACCAGGTATGAGAAAAGAAAAAAAAACAAATGTCCAAAACCATTATTTTTAACAAATAGCAGATATCATGACTATAGCTGAAATTTTGTAGTGATGAAAAAATTACAAGATTTTAAAGGTTCAAATTCGTTATAATTACTGTTTTGTTATTTAGTTATTATTGCTGCTTTTTGTGATAATTTTTATGAAACCCTTTCTGATCCTTTATTTATTTAGCAAAATATCTTACATTCCACGTAAACCATTTTGGATTAATCAAATTATCAGCTGGTGTTAAACAGAGTTAATCCCATAAAGTAATTTTCACACCTTGACCACGACAAGGATTTACGGGTGATTTTTATAACAACACTTTATGTGGCATTTTGATTTAATTGTCCATCTATAGAATGTCACTCTTTTATCTATCTCTTTGTGTGACACTTAATTTCTTCTTTGTGTTTAATTCGTTTTACTCAATCTTGTTATTTGTTAGTCAGTTGGAGACGGACAGCCGTGCCGTCAAGACCAAACTGTAGTCCGAAAGAAATACTAAAATAAATCCAGAGAATATCTTAAGTTGTTTTGAGCATCTTTATTTCTGCTTATAAAGTAAAACGGTTTCCCCTTATCAAACGCATTGGAAGCATTGGGATAAGAAGCGCCATAGGCCGAGTTGGAAATACGTTACTGGTGGAGAATCCGGGTACAGTGGTCATGTTCAACTTGTGTTCAACATGGATCCCGGATCTCTCTAAATATTGCCAAGCGAGTGACTCTAGTTCCCCATATTGTAACACGGATATTTAGGATAATCATGTATTCTTTTAGACCACAATGGATACAGCGGAAATTTAAACCTTGTCCGTTTGTGCAGAACCCATTTGAAACATGCATACGCTGCGGAAAATGTCACCCATTCCGCATGTGCAATTCCATCGGAAAGCAGTGCCACAAATGTGGAAAATTCGGACACTTTGGACGAGTATGCCGTTCCAAACGATCAACACCAAAATCCAACAAACCTGAAAAAGTACAACAGAGGAACAAAAAGCGTCTACAGGACTACCTGGACAGAAAGAACATCATGCGATTGCTGCCCTTTTCGTCGTTAAGTTCAACCGCATTTCAACAGTGTTTAGATCTTGAAGGTAACTTGAAAACTGAGTTAAAAGCGATCAAAACTAAATACAAGAAGCAGTGCTCTTTAACTAAAATAGCGACAGAAACTGTTCAAAAACAGAAAGATGTCATAACAGAGAACGACGAATTGTACAATCAATTACTTTCATTAATGACCATTCGAAACGACCGAATGAAAGAGATGGAGGAAATTATTTCCAGTTACCAGAAAACCTGCATAAAATATGAAGAGACCATTGCCACTCTGCAACAAGTGAGTCCAACAAACAAAGAGCTACATCTCGCGTCGGAAAACCAAAAACTTAAAGAGGAAAACGAAAGCTTAAAAACTTCCAATGAAGGCCTCCGATCAAGTCTTCTACAGATTCGGCGGGAATTACTGCGTGAGGACCATCGCCATTCACAGGCTCAGTCAAGTGTACAGCAGGTGCCCGTGAACCATGGCCATTTTCGGACTTCCAAAAATTATTATCGTGGCAATCACAGACGATATTAAACAGGAACTATAAAATTTGTTCTCAAGTTTGGGTACCAAACTTATCGTGGCTAAGGGGGTAATTGTCGTGTACTCATTATTTGAATTTCTAAATCAATAATTAGTAAAAGACATTTGTAGTGATGAAAAAATTACAAGATTTTAAAGGTTCAAATTCGTTATAATTACTGTTTTGTTATTTAGTTATTATTGCTGCTTTTTGTGATAATTTTTATGAAACCCTTTCTGATCCTTTATTTATTTAGCAAAATATCTTACATTCCACGTAAACCATTTTGGATTAATCAAATTATCAGCTGGTGTTAAACAGAGTTAATCCCATAAAGTAATTTTCACACCTTGACCACGACAAGGATTTACGGGTGATTTTTATAACAACACTTTATGTGGCATGTTGATTTAATTGTCCATCTATAGAATGTCACTCTTTTATCTATCTCTTTGTGTGACACTTAATTTCTTCTTTGTGTTTAATTCGTTTTACTCAATCTTGTTATTTGTTAGTCAGTTGGAGACGGACAGCCGTGCCGTCAAGACCAAACTGTAGTCCGAAAGAAATACTAAAATAAATCCAGAGAATATCTTAAGTTGTTTTGAGCATCTTTATTTCTGCTTATAAAGTAAAACGGTTTCCCCTTATCAAACGCATTGGAAGCATTGGGATAAGAAGCGCCATAGGCCGAG